ACCAAATAACCCTTCTCCCTCTAGTGACACTATTAGGAGTGGCATTATTAGGAGGTGTGACCTTGCTGGAGTAGATGTGGCCTTGTTAGAGGAAGTAGGTTACTGAGGGTGGGCTTTGAAGGCTCAGAAGCTCAAGCTAGACCTAGTGGCTCCGTCACTCCCTGCTGCCTGAGGATCCAGATGTAGAACTCTCAGCTAACTCTGCCCACATGCCACCATGCTTCCCACCACGATGATAAAGGACTAGCCCTTTGAAACTTTAATTCAGCCCCAATTAAATGCTTTCTTTTACAAGAGTTGCTGTGGTTGTGGTGTCTCTTCACAGTGATAGAAGGCTGACTAAGATGATCAGGGTTTTCACTGTAGCAATAAAAAGTAAACTAAGACATGCATGGTGTGATCGCCCACCACGTGGGAGGTTGAGGCAGGACATTGAGAGCTCAGGACAGTCTGAGTTATATACTTGGTGTGGGAGAAGTGTCTATATTCTGTCAATCATGTTTTAAATAAATGCTGATTGGCCAGGCAGGAAGTATAGGCGGGTCAACCAGACAGGAAGTAGAGGCAGGGCGATGAGAACAGGAGAATGCTGGGAAGGAGGAAGCCCATTCCTCGCAGTCCTGCTTAGGCCACTGAAGAAGCAGGATGTGATCTGCCTCGCTGAAAAAGGTACCAAGCCAGGTGGCTAACATAGATAAGAATAATGGGTTAATATAAGCTACAAGAGCCAATAAGAAGCCAGAGATAATGGGCCAATCAGTTTATAACCTAATATAGACCTCTCTGTGTGATATCTTTGGGGCTTACTTGCTGTGGGAACTGGGCAGGACAGAAACCCCAACAAGCAAGGCCCTCATGTTACACATACTGACAGTGCCCCCCCCCAAATAAATAGCATCCAAATGCCAGGCACACACCTGTAATTCCAGCCCTCAGAAGATGTAGGAAGGAGGAACAGAAGTTCAAGGTCATTGTATTAGCTACTTTTCTGTCGCTGGAATAAAATACCCTGAGCAAAAGGAATTGGGGGAGGAAAGAGTTTTGGGGGCTCCAGTTCCAGAACGGGTAAGAAGCCACCCAGGCAGCAAGGCACAGAAGCGGCAGCGGCAGCAGGAGCAAGTAGCTATGAGACTGCATCTCCAACCACACACAGAAAGCCAAGCGGGGGAACTGGAGGTACAATGAGGCTGTGAACTCTCAAAGTTCATGCAGCAAGGCTGCACCTCCATAACGTCCCCAAATTAGCACATCAATTGGGGGCCGAGTGTTCAAAGGTCCAACCCAATGGGGGACATTCTCATTGAAACCACTACCATCATGGTCAACCAGTTTGAGGCCAGCCTGAGTCACTCGAGACCCTGTCTCACCCAGGCCACTCTCTCCGAGCATCCTGAGCTAGTGGGAGGAGGGAAGTCAGACCGGCTGGCTTGCCTTGTCTTTCTCAGGATTTCGTATCATTTATACTCACAGTCTGCCCTGCGGGGTATCCCTCAGTCCTGGAAAACTCATACAGAGTGACGGTGCAGTTTTAATTTAGAAATGACAGTTCCTAAATCTGAGGATCTACTTCCAATTCTGGGCAAAAGAAGATGACAGCAACCTGGACAGAAGGGATATAAAAAAGGGGGTGATATTGGGGGCTGGGTCCTGAGGAGGCAGGGAGGCACCAGGCAAATCCAACCCCAGGGTGCGCTCATGAGGAAGAGTTTATCCCAGATTGCTCAGGAAGGAGCCAGGCTGGTATCTGTCTGGAGCTGGAGCTCACACTCATGGAGAGTCAGGATGGTGTGAGACCCAAACCCCACACTATCTTCAGCAGTATGTGGTCTCAAGACCCTGTCACTTGACTGAAAAAGACTTTCTGATGGATGAAGATGGCCCAAAGATTGCGCACATGTCCTTGGGGCCCAGGCTGGGAAACTGAGGAAACGACTGATTGTCTCGTCTGGAGAAACCCCTCCTGAACTTTTCTAAACAGCTCCTCCTTCCAGAGATGTGTGGTTCAGTGGTTTTTGTTGTTGTACAGCAAAAGCTAACTGATACATTCTGAGATTCCAAATCACCATCATCACCATCCTCATGCCTGGAACTGTTCCTACTTTTCCTCTCCGCCCTTTGTAAAGATAGGAACATCTACCTAGCTATTCAATGAAAGGAATCCAAACCAACCTTGGGATCCTCCCAAACATCTGCTTCCTCACAAGCTGCCCCACCCACCAGTAAGCCCTGTCTCTTTACCAGACAGGTCCAGTGTTTTGACATCACAACAGGACACTGTCATCTACAAAATTCAAGTCTGAGAACCACTGGGCAGTGAACTACGTAATCAAATTCCAAAAACAAAACAAAACAAAAAAAGAAAAGAAAAAAGTTTCTCATAATGTTCTGAGTAAGTTTATGATTCGGTATCGGACTCAGTTCACAGCTACCCTGGGGCGTGCAGGGCCCCGGAGCCAGAAAACAGCTTAGTCCAACCATTTCCACTGGCCCCTCCTTTTCAGCTCCTCCGCTCCAACTCGACCTTCACAGCTGCCTTTGAAACTACACGTTAGATTCTGTGTCACTTCCCCTCATGAACCTTACTTGAGGCTTGCACTATAATGAGAAATAAACAAAGTCTCTTTGGTTTGGTGTGCCTTCAACCGCTAGGCAGAGGCTACCGTCATTGGCAAAGAAAATACAAGAATTTCTTCCTAGGCACTGGCCCCGCCCCCTTCAGCTTCTCCAGGAAGCTGTGGAAGGGCCCTTGCACCTGCCATTTCTTCCACTGGGAAGCTCATTGTATCATTAGCATACACCTGCGACTGAAGTTAACCTCTTCTGTGCTTTTGCACATGGGTGCACCCGTGTGTGTGTGTGTGTGTGTGTGTGTGTGTGTGTTCGTGTTCCTATGTTGCATGCCCTGACATTCCCCACTCCTCAATGGGACAGACATTCTTTTGTTGATATTTTTGAACATTTCCTTAGCGCCCCAGACTTGCAATATACACATTTGCTGACTTACCTATTGGCTAAGAAGCTGTGGTTGCTGGAGCTGGATAGAAACAGTCTGGCCTCATTGTTCCATGGATGGGGAAACCCAGGCAGAGTCATGGGTCCAGTTGCAAAGCTGCAGGTTTACCCAATGCTGACAGCCACACAGCATGCTGAGGTTCTTCTCCTTCCATCATGGCAGCCGTTACTGACAAGGGTAGGGCCCCTCTATACGTCCCTGCCATGCTCTGAAGATTAATCTTCACACTCTGAGGCCCATAGGATATCCACAATGCAAGCCTTCAAGAGCAGGTTGTCACAAAACTGGTCCTGCGACTTCAGTAAAACACCTAAGACTCGATTGTCCACCCTTGCTGGAAGGGTCTACTCAAGGAAAGACAGGATCCAGGTAACTGACAGTCATGTGCACCACCAGAGGCTCCCTCAAGGGTTTAACCCAGTGTACTGTCTGGACGGGACTCCTCCGTTAAGTCTTTACTCTTTGGATCAGGAAGGGTGATGTTTGAGATACTTTCCACAGTCTATGCCTAATTTGTTTACATGTTTTCCAAAAACAAAACAAAACAAAAAGAAGAGGCCTGGATGGATGGCTCAGCCCTCAAGAGGGCTTCCTGTTCTTACCGGGGATTTAAGTTTGGCTCACCACTGCCTCTAACTCTAGCTCCAAGGAAACCAACATCCTCTTCTGGGTCCAGTGGTACCCACACACTCACGGCGTTCATATAAAATAACAATAATAAATCTTTAAAGAGAGGGAGAAATACAAAGATTAGCACCTGGCCAGTCCACCTCCGCGACATTTCCCTCCTGTTCTTCAATCCAGCTCAAGGAACTTGCCTAAAGGTGCCATTCCCAGATTCACCACCAGAGATCCCACTTCGCACCTCGAGAGCTTTGAAGGGCAGCCATGCATTTAATTACTGAATGCCACAAACACAGATGGCCTGGTTCTCAGGCTCTGGGATGAGCTAGGCTAGGCCGAGGGACAGGAAAACAACAAAGTCTAGAGTACCGCTGGGGCCACTTAGCGAGGAAAATGGACTGATAGCCATCCGTGGCCTAGATCAGGAAGGTCAGGCCGGAGGCTGGTCAGACCCCGCTGGCTCTGGTGACGGGGTTGATGAGTCTAGAAGAGGATTTCGTGGGAGAAGAAGCTCTAGGAGCAGGGCTGGGTGCCAAAGGGGAATTTCCACAGTCAGTTGCGGGGAAAGGCTGGCGCACATCCGTGTCTGACAGACTGCTTCTCCTGAGTTCCACCCTGGACTGCCGACTTTCCAGGACGCAGAGCAACGTTCTTACACAGTCACTTGCATGTTTTCGTTTTGTTTCATTCAGACAGCGTCTCACATGTAGCCTTGGCTGGACTGGAACTAACTATATACACGAGGCTGGCCTCAAACTCAAGAGATCCGCTTGTCTCTGCCTCCTGAGTGCAGGGATTAAAGGAGCGCAGTAGGTTGTTAGGTTACAATTGCAACCCTAACTCACTTGCGTTTCTTTTGTTTTGTTTTGGTCTTCCAGGCAGGAACTCGCAGTGTCCTTCTGGCTGTTCTGGAACTCACGATGTAAACCAGACTAGCCTCCAACTCACAAATATCCTCCTGCCTCTGCCTCCCAAGTGCTTCACTTGCACGTTTAACACCGGCGCCATTAGTCCCTACCTCTTTCTCACACTATTCATCCACAATCGTGGAGAGTACGCTTTATTGTTTGGAGGGTGCTAAGAAACTCAGGCTCTTAGGCAAGCGCCCTACCACTGAACTACGGCGCCAGCGCCCGAAAGCCTGCTTTCTAATACGGTAGTGGGCACGCTCACCCTTCCTCCCGCGCCTCTCCAGGCCACACGTTCCCGCGCGGGGCTCCGAAGCGCTCGCTCCTACCAGGCTCGCCCCCTCCCCTCTCAGGGTCTGGCTCTGTCTGGCACTGAAGACACGCCCCCGACACGCCCCCTCGCTTCCATTGGCCGCCGGCATTGTCCGCTCCCTGGCCCGAGCGGTGATTGCGGCTCGCCTGTGTCAGTCCCCGGAGGGAGCGCGGGTGGCGGGGCAGGCCGCGGGACAGCCGCAGGTGGGGCCTGGAGCGGTGGCCGGACTGGGGCAGCCCCGCAGCCCCGCGCGGGAGCCACGATGCCCCGCGGGGACTCGGAGCAGGTGCGCTACTGCGCGCGCTTCTCCTACCTTTGGCTCAAGTTCTCGCTCATCGTCTATTCCACCGTCTTCTGGGTGAGTCGATCGGGATGGAGTCGAAGGACCGGGGGTTGGGGGAGGAGGGTATGGGATGGCCCACGCTCCTTTGAGGGTCCCCACACCCTATCCGGGGTCGGGTCCAGCTTTAACCCCTCCAGGGAGGTCGCCGGGAGTGCGCAACGGCTCCTCTTCCCACTTCCCTGGGAACCGGGATGTTGTGGCGGCCCCAGCTCTGCTCGGTTTCAGCCGTCCAGTCCTCAGCTTTAGAGCGGTTGTCCCAGGACACCACTTTGTCCACCTGTGCTGCTGCTCATCTATGAGCACCTACCTGATGGGATCTGGTTGTCAGCCGTGCCCCCTGTTCATCCTTTGGCTGCTCGGTAGGCGCTGGGTACGATGTTGGCCGCTCCCACCACGCCTGCAGGGTGTGACTGCCCATAAGCGTGCATTGCAAGAGGTCAGCTTTTGTGCTTGTGGCCCTTGCTATTACTTGCCTGAGCCTTCTGTCCGGCCAACAATGGTTCCCTTGGGCGTCTTGCTTTACTCCTTGATGGGAGGAGGATGCACTTGCCTTTTGTTGGAGTGGGGCATTCCACCCGTGTGCCTCCTAGGTCACTGTTCTGGCGTAGATCAAGATAGCAGACTTCGAAGACTGTCCGCACTTGCTAACCGAATAGTCTGGAGAAGTTCCTTATTTCTCTGATCATAGTTTTCTCATCTGTAATTGGGGAGAGTAATTAGTAAACCTTTGGATGGTTTTGGAAATAAAATGGAAGTAGTCCAAGACGAAATCATAGACAGCTCAAAAATGGGAGATAATAACATTATTTTTGTTGTTGTTGTTTTGAGACAGGGTCTCTCTATGTACCTACCTCTGTCACCCAAGTGCAGGGATTAAAGTCATGTGCAACCACACGTAACCGTTGTTATTGTTGCTGTTGTCTTACTGTAGCTCAGTCTGACTGGTAGTGATGGTGGTAGTGGTGTGTGTGCACGCGCGCGTGGGCACCCATACACTCTTTTTCTTTCTTTCTTTTTAGACAGGGTCTTATGCATTTCTGGCTGGCCTAGAACTCACTATATAGTCCAGGATAATCTTGAATTCATAGTAATCCTATTGCCTTAGCCTCCCACGTATTGGAATAACAATTGCAAGACACCATGTCTGGCACTGTCAATATTATTATGAGCAAGGAATCTAGACATGAATGGTATAAGCAACCCCATGGGATTTTCTTTTTCTTTTGGATAGGGTCTCATGTTGTCTAGACTGGTCCCAAACTCTCTGTGTAGCTGACAATCACCTTGAATTCCTGATCCTCCTGTTTCTACCACACTGGGTACTGGGATCACAAATGTATGCCACCACACCTGGCTTATTTGGGCACTTTAGAATAACCGGACCTTAGTCTAGACATGAGGATATCTGTCCACAGGCTGGCTCTGCCCTCACCTTTAGAAAATAGGCCCCTGCCACCAGTGTATACTTAGGCTTGTTTGGAGATCCCAGAGGGTCCCCTGAAAATAAGTTCCTCCTCTGTCTTTCTTCTCCCCCTCTTCCTCAGCTTCCTTCTGTCATCTGCATCTCTTCTGCATCCTTCTGCATCTCTTCTGTCAGCAGGAGCTGCTGGGTCGGCCATCAAGGCTGACTTTGAATGGAACCCCTTTGTGAGGCCACCCTGCTCCAACCAACAGATCTCGATTCTGGTCCTGCTATATCTCTGACTCACTGGCATATCATAGGCAAATGATATCTCTGTTTTGGGTCTCAGAACTGTTCATTCTAGTCTGTGGCTAGCTTCCAGCCGAGTTCTCTGACTCCAGGTACCCTGAAAGAAAGATAAGCAGCATTGCTAGGGCCCCAAGGGTGGAGGGTAGAGTGGAGATGGAGACATGGAATCTAAGTTGCAGGGAGGTTGAAGGTGGGGGTAGATGATTCGAATTAGAATTCAGTGATTCTCACCCCAAGTTGCATGAGAATTAAGTCTGTGGTTTCCAACACTACAGATCCTCATGCCGGGGCACAAGTGTTCATTACACTCGTACCTCGGCTCCTCCCACCACTCAGTGTGCTGTCAGGGCTGAAAACAGCCAGCACTGGAGAACACGGTGGTCCCTCTCAGTCTTGCCTGCATGTAAATCAGATAAAAGGAAAGACTACGGTAAAGGGTGGGAAGGCAGGGGTCCCAGTCCCTCTTCCTCCTCCTCTTCAGTGTGTGAGCCCTGGCCCAGTCTCGTCATGCCTTCCTTTCTTCATTTGTAATATAAAAATGTGTTACACCTGCCTTGCACCTTATAGCATCCCTTTTAGGGCTAGCCATGAGGGAGTGAACGAGGAAAGGGCTATGTGAAGAGAAACTGTGGTGGACTTCACAACGCTCAGGAAGGTGTGAGGCCAGAAGATCCCAAGTTCAAAGCCCACTGAAGCTACAGAGCGAGTTTAAGGGCAACCTGGGCAACTTAGTGAGACTGTCTGAAAATAAAACGTGAGAAAAGGACTGGGGGTGTGGCTCAGTGGTAAGGAATCTGCCTAGCACATGGAAGGCTCTGGGTTCAATCCCCAGCACTACAGAAACACCCCCTCCCCCCCGAAACCTCACCAAAACCGAAGGTAGACACAGTTACATGAAAACAAATGAACCTGCAAGGTCAGAGTCATTGCCCCTTGCAGCCCCCGTAGACACCCGCATGGTTCTTGCTTTGCTTTTCTTGAGGCTGAAGAGGACCCAGAACTTGGAACTTTTCCTCTTTAGCCAACTGAGCTTGCTGTACTCCCATCCCTGGCAATATTTCTACTTAAAAATATCTCCCAACCCAGGCCAAGAGCTCAGCTGCGGGGCAAGGCTGCTGGCTGGGGTGGCTCCAGGTGCCAGAATGTGACTGCAGGGTGGTGGCGACTGCAGGTTAAGTAATTTGTCCGGATTGAGTTTACTGCTAATTGGAAAGCATTTATGGAAAAACCCATTATCTCGATGATGCCATCTCCTGCCTCACCCCTGGCAAGAGGATGAGTGGGGGCAAGGGTTACTCACTTTATAAACCAGAAGTGTAAGTGCTCGCATCTCTGTCTATAAAGAGGGAGGCGGTGGTGATGCGTGGCTTTAATCCCAGGACTCAGGAGGTAGAAGTTGATGGACCTCTGTGATTGTGAGGCCAGCCTTCTCTACAGAGCGACTTCCAAGACAGCCAGAGCTGTTACACAGAGAAACCCAGTCTCAAAACAAACTAACAAAAGAAAAAAAACCCCAACAAAACAAACAAGCAAAAAACCAAACAAAAGCAAGGTGCCTGATCCCTAAGTTCTTTTCAAAATAGGACTTATTTATTTTGTGAATAATTGTCTTATCTACATGGAGTTTTGTGTACTACATGTGTGCCTGGTGCCCACAGAAGCCAGAAGAGCATGTCAGATGCCCATAATTACAGTTACAGATGGTTATGAGCTGCCAGGTGGACTCTGGGAATCAAACCCAGGACCTCTGGAAGAGCAGTCAGTGTTCTTATGAGCCATCTCTCAAGCCCCTGAACATGAATCCTTAATCTTCCTGTCTTTAACTTGAAAATCCTGGGATTTCAGGCATAAATCACCATGCCCAGCTTGTAAATGCTTGTCTATAAAAATGATCATTGACAGAAAATACATGCAACCATGCACTGATTAAAAGTAAAAAGGGAGGGTGTCATGGGGTTCTCATTGCTGTGGTTGGGGACACCGTGGCCACAGCAACTCTTACAAAGAAAACATTTAATTGAGGTGACTCGCTAACAGTTTTAGCGGTTCAGTCCATTATCATCATGAAAGGGAGCATGGCGGTGAGTAGGCAGATGTGGTACTGGAGCTGAGAGTCCTACATCTTGCCGGCAACAGGAAACGGACTGAGACACTGGGCAGTATCCTGAGCATAGGAAACCTCAAATCCTGCCCCCACAGTGACACACGTCCTCCAACAAGGCCATACCCACTCCAACGAAGACACACCTCCTAATAGTGCCACTCCCTGTGAGATTATGAGGGACAGTTCCATTCAAACTATCACAGAGGGTCGGGGAGATGGCTCAGCCTGACGTCCTGAGTTTGGTCTCTGGAGCTCACTTAAAGGTAGAAGGAGAAAACCGTCTCCACAGAGTTGTTCCCTAGCCTCACATATGCCCCGTGATCCGGGCACCCACACAAATAGAAGAGGAGTGGGGGGTTTTTGTCTTAAAAATAAAAAATGAAGCAGCTGACCAGTGGCAGCCAGCTGTCCCCTCCTGGTTTGTCTTAAACAGAGGAGACCTCTGCTACAAGTTTATAGTAATTTTTCTTTCCTGAGGCACAAATATGCATATGGAGAGTATAATATTTATTTATATATGTATACACACATTATATATGTATACATCTCACACTGCATAGAGAACTGGGGGGGGGGTGCCTCCTCACCTTTTTATTTAATGCTTTCATTTTTTTTTTGGCGGGGAGGAAGATCTCAGCTATCCCAGATTGGCATGGGATTCACAAAGTACTGGAGGATGGCTTTGAACTTCTTCCTGATCCTCCTGGGTGCTAGAATTACAGGTGTGCACCACCACACCCAGCTTATATGATGCTAACAATTGAATCCAGGGCTTTGCGTGTGCTAGGCAAACACTACCGACCGAACCAAATCACCAGGACTTTGCTCAAAGTAAGATCTTTGTAAATTTCAGTTAACTGCCATGGTCCGCCTCTGTCTTATTTTTTATCATGTGTGTTGTGGTATGTGTGGTTATGCGTTGTAGGCACCCCATCTTGCATTTTGGAGGTCAGAGGACAACTTTATGGAGTTGGTTCTTCTACCTTTTCTGGGGCTCCAACTCAGGTTGCTGAAGTTGTGAAGCAAGAGATTTTACCCACTGAACCATCTCATGAGACCGAAGGGGATGCCTCTTTCTGTTTGATGGTCTTAGAGACTTCACTCCAGGCTGTGCCAAAGTTTATTTAATCTGGCCAAAGCTGGGGAATTCTGTGGTTGTTTCCAGTCTGTTGTTGCTGTGGGTAATACGGGGGTAACTGT